CCCCCCCCCCCCCCCGCCAGGACCCACATCGCTAAGGCGACCAGATTCAAAGCAGAGGCTACACGGTCACGGGAGAGCCAAGCCCCCTCGAGGCACAGGGAAAACCCCTTCCCCTGCTTACGTGGACGTGTGTGGCCGATGCCAGACCCACCCCGTCTCAGCATCGGCCGCACGGGCTCAAAGCCAACGGAAGACACAGGATGAAGCCTGGCCCCTCCCCAGGTCGGTGCGGTCCCACCTGTCTGTCACTGCTTTGACCGTAGCAACTCAGACGACCCTGACCCCATTCCCCGGTACGGAGGGGCCCCGCCAACCCCAACTCCAAGAAATTCTCAGCAGCCCTCGGTCCAATGCTTGGAATCCCATCATTAGCCGCTCTCTGGTCAGAGCCGCGGCAAGAAAGGCAGTGGACGTCCCCAGCCTGTCCACAGTCCGACAGAAGCGAGACCCACACAGGCGAGGCCCAGGCACGGGCAGAGCGCAGAACACGCTCCTAAGGCAGGACGTGCTCCTTTGAGCGGACTCCTCACCCCAGCAGCAAGCCCACGAGGCGCCCTCCTTGGGCCGCTGTCCCCACAATGGGCACAGCTCCAGCTGCCCGCTCTCAGCCGACAGAACGCGGAGCACGGCGGGCGAAGAGAACAGTCAGCCTGGCCCCCGGCCCATGTTACGGTCGGCGGGGAGTCCGCGGCCACAGCCCCCTGCCCGCTCTCCGCCCTCGGCCAACACACACCACGTGGTTTCTGAGCCCGTTGGCGGGGACAGAACACACCTTGCCTGCGACCGCGGTGGGCACAGCCGCCGGGGTTACCTCAGGGAGGGAGCACCGTAGCAGGAGCTCCTTGGAGCTGGGGCTGGGGCTGTGTATCCCTCCGTGTGTTTTCTGGGCATCCTGAGTTTCCCCCTCACACTCCCCCAGGGGCCCCTGCAGCGACACGGCCTTGCAGGCAGGCTTCTAACACTTAACAAGGAGAAAGCGAAAGGTCCCTGCGGCCCCACAGCCTCCCCGTGGGCACGACGTGGGTGCCACTTACCACGTGGAGACTCGAGCCAGAGCCAGACCACCCACTTCGCTAGGTGGGGCCTGAAACGGAGGCGGCTGTAAGCTCCAGGGAAAACGGGGCTGGCTCTGCGAGCGAGCGCACAGAGATCTCAGCAAGGCCGCCAGTGGGGAGACGCGAGGTGTGGGTTCAAGCACGAGCCGCGAGTATGTGGAGAGCGCGTGAGGGGCAGAGCGCCCACCCCAAGCCGTCGGCACCCTAACCCGCCCGAGGACGCTGCCTGCTCAGAAAGGGGGAACCAAGGTTGCTGGTCGGACGGCCCTGAGATGGGGAGACCAGCCCTGAGGGACAAGCGCGTGCAGTGGGCAAGTCCCGGGCGGACTGTCCAGGGCAGACTGAGGAGGGAACCTCTGGGGGTCCCAGGCCCTGCCGGGACGGGAAGAAGCCAGCCACACGTTCTCCCACCCGTGCACCGGGGTGCCATATCTGAGCCCAGAAGCACCCAGATTCAATGTTCCCTCCCCGGGGTTCCCTGAGGCAGCAGCGAGCTAGAAGCCATCTGAAATCCTACAGTGGACAGAGCTGGCTCCTGCCCCACCCTTCCCACCCCCCTGCATAGCAGAGCGTGAGCTCCCCCTGCAGGTGTTTGCAGCCCCAGGGCCGCCATCCAGTCCTCATCCACCTCAGCTGGGAACACGGAGGGTGCCTCCCCCTGCAGAGGTGGGGTGGGGCGGGGAGGAGAGGCAGACAGAAACACCCCCCAAGAGGCTCTGTGCTTGGACCGGAAGCCCTGGGGGGGGGGGGTCTCAGCAGCAGGGGGCCAGCTGACCACCCGGACACTCCGGCTGCCCGACAGAGGACCGGGTGGGAAGGAACAAGGAAACACCATCTCTGCTGTGCGTTTACATCAGAGTCTGCTCAGAGTGTGCTCCAGGGAACCCAGGGGAGGCCCCCAAGCCCCTTCGGAGGCTCCGTGAGATTCTGTCTTGACCCACATTTGCACGGAAACAGCGGGCGTAGCGAGCAGACCTCGGCACAGATCAAGGCCGCAGCACGGACCGTGGGGGTGCCCGTCCGTCTTTCTCCCCCGGCTCACGCTGAAACGATAGAACCTGGTTTGGGTTGCAAATGTCCGCGACGAAGCAGTAAAAATCACAAACCGTATCAAATCCCAATTGTCGCGCACAGGCTTTGTAGCATTCCGTGCGATGAACCGGAAAGTGCACGGCCGCTGGCCTCGGGGAAAAGCCCCGGGAACCGGCAGAGCGCGGAGTCCCGGATGTTTGCAGGGACTGTCACTGCCTGAGCTGGGGGACAGGACAGAGGCCTGCACTTACCCAGACGTGGGGAGCAGGGAGACACTTCCTAGAACGTGAATGGCTAGGCCGCTCCTTTGATGAAAACAGGTGAGGGTGTCTGTCGAGACTGGAGCTTTCCAGGGAGAGCTCCAAGTCGGGGGAGCTTCTAATCACGAACAGCTTCTTCGTGTGTGGAGACTCTTCTGACAAGATGGGTGGGAACACCAACAAATGCTATTTTTTCTGTTTTTATGTTGTGAGATGGAGACGTTCCTCTCCGGGAGCCCAGGGGGCCCCACACGCAGGACGCTACGGAGTTGCCCGTGGTAAGAGAGTCACCCGCCCGGAGCAGACAGACGCGGGGGATGGAGGGACAGCAGCGTTTGTGAAGTTGGCCGGCAAAGGGAAGGGAAACCCGTGGGAACATAAAATCCAATTCTCTCCTGGCCTTAGACTTTCTGAAAGTCAAATGCCGAAATCAAAAGTGACAGTGACACGCCGGGGCGTATAATGTACGTGGGGGGGGGGGGAACTGCATGCCCCCCTTGTATGAATCACCCCAATTTTGTATGCTCCCCTTGTATGAATCACCGCCTCCCGCAGATGCTGGCTGTGCGCCTGCAGTCCGCGGGGCCTCAGAACAGCCGTCCCCGCCCTTCCCGGGTAACTCCACTCTCACGGACAGGAGACTGGGGCTCAGCGAGGTGAACACGTACCATGTGAGCGTCCGGATGCTGCGACCCTCACCCAAGAAGAAGATAAACGTCCTTCCCACTCGAAGGAAAACGGGTGTGGTGGTACCCAGAGGTGGCTCTGAGGAAGGGCTGGGGATTGGTAGCTGACCACAGGCCACCGGGAGCGAAGGATTACCACATCACACGCTCGGCGGATCGGTCGACGAAAGAGAAAAGCAGACAGTCTGGCGTGACCGCCTCAGTCACCAAATTGTGGGAACCCTAAAGGGCTGACGGGCATTTGAGAAAACCACCGGCTGCGGGAGGGACCGTCTGGGCGCTCGGCTCCCCTGGGACAGGCAGGCGTGGAGGGGAGGGCCACGGGGACTGGAGCCACGGAAGGCTCTGACTCCAAATTCTGCACGGTCCCCCGGGGATGCTGGGAGTGGGGACACGGGACCCGAAGTCAGCCCGGACGAGGAACTCTGCGTCACCTGAGGCCGAGCCCCTCCACACGAGGCCCCCTCCCCCGATGCCGGTCGTGGGGCCAAAACCACAGAGGTGTATTTTCTCCCAGTTCTGGGGGCCGGAGCCTGAAATCAAGGTGCGGGCACGGCCGTCTCCCGCCGAAGGCTGCAGGGGAGGGTCTGCTCCAGGCCTCTCCTCCCGATGGCCAATGGCCGTCATGCCTGGTGTCTCCTGGTGTGCAGACGCATCACTCGCTCTCTGCCTGTCTCTTCAGGGCGTTTTCTTTCTTTTTTTTTTTAAACTGGTTTTATTTTTTATTTTTTTAATTTACATCCAAATTAGCATCTAGGGCAACAATGATTTCAGGCGTAGATTCCTTAGTGCCCCTCCCCCATTTGACCCATCCCCCCTCCCACAACCCCTCCCGTAACCCTCCATTTGTTCTCCGTATTTATGAGTCTCTTCTGTTTTGTCCCCCTCCCTGTTTCTACATCATTCCTTTTCCCTTCCCTTATGTTCGTCCGTTCTGTCTCTTCAAGTCCTCGTATGAGTGAAGTCCTAGGATATGCGTCTTTCTCTAATTTCTTAGCATAATACTCTCCAGTTCCATCCACGTAGTTGCAAATGGCAACATTTCCTTCCTTTTGATGGCCGAGTGATACTCCATTGTACATGTAGACCACATCTTCTTTATCCATTCATCCCTCGATGGACACTTGGGCTCTTTCCACACTCTGGCTCCTGTCGATGGTGCTGCTATAAACATGGGGGTGCACGTGTCTCAGGGGCGTTTCCTTCTGGGCCCCTCCGTGTCTCACCCGTCTCTCACGAGGACGCTCTCACTGGACTTGGGGCCACCCTGATCGGGGACGACCTCACCCACATCCTTCCCTTAGCCACACCTGTGAAGCCGTATTCCAAATAAGGGCACGTCAGAGGCCATGAATTTGGGGCACGTGCTTCCCCTAAGGAGAGGGCCCCGCGGCTAACCAAGGCGGGAACCAGACGGGCTGCTCGCCGGCCGACGTCGGGCGCACGGAACGGCGGTCACTGCCGTCCGTGGGCGCTTCACGGTCTGGACCTCGGCGTGCCGTCCCGGCTGTGCCTCAGCGCGGACTCCACGTGTGGACGGACACACGTCGTCATCCCGGCGGCTGACACTCAGGCCGCTCTCGCTCTTCAGCTGTTGGAGTAACACTGGCACAGACATCCACGGGCAAGCGCTTGTGGGCCGCGCGTCGGGTCTCTCCTGGCGGACACGCGGGGTGGGAGGCTGCTGGGCCACGTGGGGATGGGCGTCACCCTCTGAGGAGCCGGCGGGCGGCCAGGTGCGGCGGCTGCCCCCTTTCACGTCCCCAGCAGCCGCGCCTGACATTCTCTTTTCTGCACGTCCTCGAACACACTTGTCACCGGCTCTTCCTTCCAGCTGCCCTCGGGGGCGTGAGGCCGGTCTCGCCGTGGGTTTGATTTGTGTTTCCCTGGTGGCTCGTGATGGGACCATCTTCTGCACCTGTCAGCACGTGATCCTCTGCCCGCCCCTACAATTTTACGTTCATCGTGAAGGTGAGAAAACAGACGCTAAAGATGATCTGCGTCTAAAAGTTCCGGGAATGACCCCCGGCCCCAGGCGCCCTTGGCCTTCCCATCGCGGCCCCTCCCAGCTGCCCGACCTCAAGCGAACATCTCGAGGACCCTCTGTGCCCTCGCCAGCCCAACAGGTAACGAAGGAGTCAGAAGGGAAGTCAGAAGGGAAGTCGGGCCCCTGAAGCCGGCAGGTGGAGACCACTCAGCAACAGGGATGAACACCCTTTTCCCAAGGCGACAGGAGCAGAGCTGGGGACACACTTGTTCCCACAGACACAGGGACAGGAAAGGGAAGTCGTCACAGCAGACAGGTGACCTTGGCGGGGCCTCCATGGCCCAGGGGAGAAAGCTCCGGTCCAAAGGCTGACTCTCTGAGCCTCCCTTGCCTGGTCTGCAAAGTGGGAGGGTCCCACTGGCCCCACAGGCACTGCCACGAGGGCCACAGCACACTGGCTCCCACCACACCCTCCCAGACCAGTGGCAGACACACCGTCACCCTCAAAGGCCGCTCTCCCCGGACAGCGCCCGTCGCTTCCCGCCTCCGCGGCTGCCCCAGGACCTGGCACGTTTCTCCCACACAGCGTCATCTGTGGAACCCGGGACCCTCCTTTACCTCGGCTCAGAGCAGGACTGCTGCTCGGCTGACCCCGGTGTTAGGGCGGGGGGGGGGGGGGGGGGGGCGGGCCCTGCCTGCCCGCCGCCCCGTGGTCAGGCTGCCCGACCCCGGGGCCTCCAGCCTGGCACACGGCCCACCCGCAGGGGTTGGCACTGGGTCTCAGAGTTGTGCGCTGGAAGGGAGGCTCCCAAGGCAGGATCCTCAGACTCCGGGAACTTACAACCCAGAGGACGGTCAGCAGCCACCCCGGGTTTACACGGGCCCTGACCCGTCGCTTTTCTGTTTTTCCAGACCGTTGACTTCCCAAAATCACATTTTAACACTGAAAACGTTAGGAAGACATAACTCAGAACAGAAGACGGTTTCCCGTAAGAATTCGGCTTCGTGAGGTGCCCAACCTTTCTCTTGCTCATTTCATTGCAGATGAAATGTTCCACGGAAACACAGGTCCGCGGGTCAGAGTTTGGGAACATCTGCTGCATGTGAACGCTTCCGGCCCCACTTGGTCTTACAGAGGAGGAAACAGAGGGTCCAAGTGGCTAAAGGCGCGGTCAGCGGCAAAGCCAGGCGGGGAGCCCTCTGTCTTTCCAGCTGTATCACCACCAGGCAGACAGATCCTGCCGCTCTGAGCTGGAAGCCACAACTGCTCACACGACAAAGAGCAGACACCGCTTGGGTTTCAAAATACGCTAAAAACGACCTGAGCAGAATAGGGGCAGTTTCTCCGTCTAAATCCAGGTCCCATGTCAGAGTCAATTGCACAAAGGAGTCCTCGTGCGGTCTTACTTTAACTGTCGTATCTAAAATGCCTCGGCTGTGATTTGTCAAGCACTCAACCCGTGTTGGGTTGTCACTGACTTAGTTTGGGGGGATCTCGTCAAAAGGGCAGCGGGAACTTCTGGGACAGCCTGGGGAGTGAGGTGCTTCCCACGGTCCAGCTCGGGCGCCCATGGGGGCTGGGGTGCGCCCCTGCGGACGCCCCGTCCCGTCCTCTCCTGAGGCTGCAGCTGGCTCCGGGGCCTGAGTGGGACCCCGCTGTCTGAGAAGACAAAGGACTTGCTTGTGTACTGAACCCCAACACGTCCTTCCCTGTTCCCAGAAACACTTGTCCACGCGCGACCTTCCCGAACGCCCCCGACACCTGCTCGCTCCTTCAAAGCCAGCTGCGCCCAAACTCTACTCAAAGTCAAGGGACCCCCTTCCGTCTCTGCCACGGAGTATGTCCTGGATTGCGGCCTCCCTGCGCCAGCATTGTGCGTGCCTCAGGGGTGACGACCGTTTTATCCCCTCCCACCCGGGGCTGGTGCCCTCCAAACTCCACTCTGCCCCCGACAGGGCGAGCACGGCCAGCTCCTACCGACCCCAGCGGGGCACGGGTCACCCAGGGACACCTGGGTAGCATCACCACCCCAGCCTCCCCTTGGAGTATCTTTTTTAAATTGAGGCAAAGCTGTCATGACATCAAGTCAACCCCCTTCACGTGCACGATTCGGCAGCATTTAGCACGTTAGCAGTGACGCACGACGCCACCTCCAATTCCAGAATGTTCCATCGCCCCCGGAGAAACCCCATACCCACTGGCAGCCACTCCCCTTGTTCCCCGAATCCCCCACCCCCCCAGCCGCCGTTCATCCACTTCCCGGGCCCACGGGTTTGCCTGCTCTGGACGTTTCAGGAAAGTGAGATCAAGCAGCTGGGGACCTTTGTGCCCGGCTTCCTTCACTCATGTTTCCAGGTTTATCGGCGACACAGCACGTCACAGCTGCAGGCCAGGCGCTACTCCGTCGTGTGGATGGACCCCATCAGTGGACAGGCATCTTTTTTTTTTTTTTTAACATTTATTTATTACTGAGAGACAGAGCATGAGCAGGGGAGGGGCCGAGAGATGGGGACACACAGAATCCGAAGCAGGCTCCAGGCTCCCAGCTTTCAGCACAGAGTCCGACACGGGGCTCGAACT